CAGTGAGTAATACTGTCTCTTCCTGGAGTACTTGGGGTTGTGCAAGTGCAACTCCTAGTTAGTGCCCAACAGTTTGAACACCAGGCAGTGTGTGGAACAGTCCTCACAAAAAAAAAAAAAAAAAAAAAAAAACACCTGTCCAGCCCCAAATGCTAATAGCACCTTTGTTGAAAGCCACTTACCTAAAATATGTATAACTTATACTTTTTCTTACCCAATATTAATCACAAAAGTTTTAGTGCCAGTAATCAGATGTTTGAGATGTCTCTATTAATGTGGTTTTTATTTTTTATTTATCTTTATTGTTGACTACAGGCCCCAGTGCACAGATTTGTGCACCCATGGGGCCCCTCAGCCTAGCCTGCAGGGATCGGGCCAAAACCAGCTCTCCGACATCCCCTGAGGGGTCCCAGATTGTGAGAGGGCAGTTCTCAGGTGATGCAACCCGGAATCGGGCTCCCTCCTCTCATGCCTGGTCAGCCCACTCATGCCTCTGCACTTCCTACCAGTCTCTATGTGGTCTCCACTTTATGTCCTTAGTTACAAGGGTTCTCTCCAGCAAGTCTTCAGTTGATTTTCCAGATGGTATTTCTATATTTTAATTCCAGTTTGGGAGTGTCAGTGTAGCTTCCACTTAATCCACCACAATTATGGAAAAAACTAATGTGGTTTTTTAAAAAGCACTTTATAAACCAGCCCCTGCCAGTGCTTCTCATTGGTCAGAATGTCAGCCAGCTCACCAAAGGGTCGTGGGTTCAATTCCAATCAAGGGCATGTACCTAGCTTGCAGATTCGAATCCCCAAGACAACCAATCAATTTGTCTCTCTCACATTGATATTTTTCTCTCTGTCTCTTTCCTCCCCCACACCCAAAGAAAAATGGATAGAAAAATATCCCCGGGTGAAGATTAACAAAACAAAACTAAACTAGCTTTTAACATTAGCATGTTATTCCAGGTATAGAAAGAATTATACTAAATAATAATTTTTTCTGTACCAAGAACTCATTTGGGGCCTTCAAAAATGGAATAAAATGTTCCTTTATTTAATAGTTGTTCAAGGGTCAACTGTATATTATAAATATATGCAAAACACAGGTACATATAAAGATATAGATAATATATTTTAAATAAACATATACAAATTTTCAATAAACATCCACAGGAAGAATAGATACAGATAAAAAAAATAGATAAGTAGATAATAGATGAATGGATAGATGGATGGATTAATAAATCATCTTATTTCTCTGCCTGCTTATAGACTGCAAAAGAAAGGGGTATTTAACAACTTTTTCATTTTATAGCATATATAGATTCAGTATATGGTACATATAATTTCTCATATTGCCCTGGTTAAAATGGTTCACTAGATATTTTTTGTGTATATGTATACACACACACATATACATACACATATATACATACTACAGATATGTATATACATGTAGTTATTTAGAAATGAATTCTATGAAACCAGTTTTGAATAAAAATGGCCAAAGTGCTATAGTAATATAGTCATATACACAATAGATATAATATAAATATATATAACAACATACATCTGTATAGCTAATTTATATAAGTTTAAATATACATATAACATGCCATAATTTTAATTTTTAAAAAGAACAAATATCTTGAAATCGCTTTTTAAAGGAGCAGAATCACTGCTTTCCTAAAATATGCAGGCAAAATGCTGGTCCCTTCATATTGTCATCTAAATTTAATCTTCACAATAACCTAGAAAGTGGAAATAATCCCATTTTAAAGTTAAGGAATTTGATGCCCCAAATGGTTAAATGACTTATGTGTTCCATAATGGCAAGGACAATTTTTATATTTTTCCAGTGTATTATCAGTGCCTTATCATGTCTCATACATGATAAACATGCAATGAATTTTGAATGGATGGATGACGATGCTCAAAGGTAGACAAGTAAATAAACTTATTTTTCCAAGTCCAAAGTCAGAAACAGTTTAAGAACTTCAAAATATCTAATTCAATATCCTTTTAAAAAAAGTCAAACATGCACCCTTTAAAACATTTGAGTACCTACTAAAATGCAAGAGTCCACCAGTCACATCATAATATAGCTATGTACAAAGTATGTCATTACCTTTTACTAGCTTGCCTAATTTAAGATTTAAAGTACATTAACAACAAAACACACTAATAAAATGAAAAAGTAAGTACGAATTAGGGTATTTTACAAGATGAAAAGGAAAAGTAGTTGAGAAACACACAACTGAACTTATTTCTAACAAGTAGGGTTGGATCTAAAAAAATTTATGAACAAGTTTTTGTTATTGTTGTTGTTTTTCCTAAAATTTCCACTATTTGTGGTCCATTGACCAGAGCCCTCAAGGAACCTCAATACTGACTCCCATATAACCATGTTGCCCTCCTCCTTGTTTCTCTTGTATAGTAAACACAGCCACATCTCCAATATGAGTTAAAAACCTAGGTTTTGGTCCTGAGTTTGTCCTGAAATTGCTGTGTTACATCTGGCAGGTAAACTTCCCTGACTTTCAATTTCCTTAAATGTACATAGGAAATTTAAATGTACCAATGTTTCTCAAACATGCCTGATTATAAGAATACTAGAGACCCAGAGCACAAAAATTTGTGCACTCAGGGGGGTCCCTCAGTCCGGCCTGTGCCCTCTGGCAGTCTGGGACCCTTCGGGGGATGTCCACCTGCTGGCTTAGGCCCGCTCCCTGGGGGTTTGGGTCTAAGCTGGCAGCCAGACATCCCTCTGGCAGCTCAGGAGCCCTCGGGGGATGTCCACTTGCCAGCGGGGAGAAGGCCTAAGCTGCAGTTGGACATCCTTAGCACTGCTGAGGAGGCGGGAGAGGCTCGGCCACCACCACAGTGCTGGCAGCCATCAGCCTGGCTTGTGGCTGAGCAAAGATCCCCCTATGGGAGCGCACTGGCCACCAGGGGGCAGCTCCTGCATTGAGCGTCTGCCCCCTAGTGGTCAGTGTGTGTCATAGTGACCAGTCATTCCCAGTCATTCTGCTGTTAGGGTCAGTTTGCATATTACCCTTTTATTATATAGGATAGAGGCCTGGTGCATGGGTGGGGGCCGGCTGGTTTGCCCTGAAGGGTGTCCCAGATCAGGGT